TAGGTGGCATCCTCTCTTTCCTTCGATTCAAAAATTATGTAGCGGGCAACAAAGACTTCAAAGTTCCCACCTAAATGTATACTATCCATGGCTTTACTCTAGAGCGTCGGTGGCATCTTATTGACAGATGCAGTGGCGCACCCCTTTTATACTTCTCCTGTCACTAGGTCATAACTCCCCCAGTTCTACCGATTTTTACCACAAAAACAAGGTGCATCATGTTTACCCTTCTCTTTTCACTGACAATACCAATAATTACCCGCCCTTCCCTCTCTTTTAACCCAGTCATCCTGTCTACCACTGTACAAGTAGCTTTGAACAAATTTTTTTCTGGCCGCCATTTCTGGCCTCTACGGCACAGCAGTAGACTTTACCGGTTTAGGCAAGATTGTCTTCTGTTTTCAGATTGGGAAAACAAACGTGCAGAAAGGAATACGAGTACAACTCAGCAGACTAGAAACGCGAGGTGTAATTGTCAGCATTCAACGGCGGGTTTGTATAATTTGCAACCTACTACCTACTAGGTAGCCTCTGCTACTAGACATCTTCAATACGTACGTGTAAGTTGATTTTATTAATTATACTGTAAATAAACCGAGCCCTTTTTAGAATAAGCCTAGCCTAGCTAGGTACTTATGCTATTTTGTACTCTATCTTAAACTAAAACAACCTTTAAGTACAAGTAAGGTATATAACATATAACGTATATCATTAAAAAGCCATTGAGTACTTAAGGTAAGGCAAGGTAAAAGATGCAAGGATATTTATATAACATTTTACTCTTAAAGGAAAAAAATATAATAAGACAAACTAAGTGCAAGGGGGTTATGAGGCATTGCATATGTTTGTAGGCATATAATAAGGACGGAAATCGTCCGCAAAAAATGTGCGAAGACATTTGATATCTCCTACGACTGCTATCTACATATTTGCAGACGCAATGCCCAGGGGACAAGCAATATTTGTTGATGACAAACCTTTACTTGTAAATTGTGCTAAAAAATGACCCTTGTCCGTATTTTATGGAGACCTGATAGATGGCAGCCGGCGGAGATACGACGTGATCTTAGGAATTTGTGGCAGGCACATCTCATTTTCTGGCCAGATCCGACAAGTGTCAAGCCGGTCTTTCCAATTCTGCAAGTTGCAACTGCCTCGCTATCTATTGCCAATACTTACATTAGGCACACCTTATTTTAAACAAAAAAAAAGATCAAGGCGTACATATAAGTTCAATTGTACCTGCTTTTGATGTCATGCAAAATCCTGATCTCGACCCAACATTCCTCTTAAGAGGCCCACCCTGCCACCTGATTCGCTACCGCTTGAATATAGTGGTACATGTACCTGCATCTGCCTGCATCTCATCCTAGAAAGTGCATGCAAGTTGTTGCCTCGAAGATAGCTGGCAGACCAACCCCCAATCCAGCCGCGCCCCTCTGCACTTTTATTGTCTACACGCATTTGGTCAATAGATAGCGGGTGTATCTGCCTCCCCAGTTCTCCGAAAAGCAACATCTGATGGGTAGGATCATAGGCTTCCCCCCCTCCTTCTCATGGCGGTGTTCTAGAGGCATACCTACTTCATTTCATCTCGGCAGTCCTTCTTCATTCGGCGATTGTCTGGGTATTCGATCGCCCTGCCACATAGCAGCTCCTAGTTAACCAATGGACGGGGACGGTTTGCGAAATCATGGTCCAAACCCGCATCTTGTTAACAAGTTGTCGCCTGACATCATGGAGATGTTTTAGCCCAAGTAAAGTATAAGCTACCATGAAAACTGACAGCTTGTTGGTCGGTTACATCTGCTGTGATAAACGTAAGTTATTACATCCGTGTGGTTGAGTACTGCCTCCTGGTATTAGTCGCATAGGAGACAGATAGGGTCCCGCATAATGGGGACAACATCCTTGGCAGCTTCCAACATCCAACCAATCAGTTACTTATAGCTGGATACCCTGGTATAGTGGTAAATTCGAAACAAAAGGCGGGAAAAACGCCAAGTCAAATCGAGTCGCATCGGACCCATTACCGTTTCCCTCCCGAGCGTCGCGATGGGTGGGCTGCAACTATTAACATGCAAGTATGTACGTGTGACTTTGAGCCTCTGCTGGAGCTCGTGTGAGAAATACCATATTCTGTCGACATGTCACTTATTAGAGTATTCCCTTATCGAAAACCCCTGCAAATGCGGACTGGTGGGTATGGGGCAGGTCGCCGAAGTTCGCTGCGAGAGTATATAGGTCGCGGGCCTCAATTACGTGTACTATCAACCAGCCGAGAGGATAGGGGTGTATCAATATTTTCTCGATATCTCATTGTTAAAAATCATTACTCGATTCGGAGGTCTACGAGCAATTCCCGTCGTTCCTATCCTGTGGACACACATCAACCTACTTTACTAGGCAGATTGGAGTCGTGTCCCCCATCTGGGCTTACATGATAGCGACGTCAATCCTCATAGTACCGGCAAGGTCGTGATCAGCCCGAGTTCTCAGGGAGCCAAAGCTACCTAGTTATGAAATCAATCCTCCTCCCGTAGTCACTAGAACAACGAATCTAAAGGTGAGAAGCCCCCCTCCTCCCCGCCTGGGCATTGGGCATTGGGCATTAGTCCGGGCAAGGGGTCATTACACCGAAAATATTCATAGCATACGCCCGGCTTTAGTTCTTACCTGTCCCACATCATTCGATGGACAGTTGGCGCCAGGACCGCCAATTTCTCAACACTTGAGGTACAATAAAGGAAGTCCTGCAAGTCTGGTTGGTTGGTTTGGGGAAGACGGCCGGAAATATATGGGCCTGAGGCTGGGGGTCAGAACTTTTAATACTATATCAGGTGTTTTATTACAAGGGGAGGCGCTTCCCTCTAGATACAATGTGCATCGGGCTGCGTAGGAATTTGAAATAAAAACTTTATTACGACGGCTGCCGGTATGTCTCCACTGCTACATAGTACGTACTCGTATCGTATGTAAGAAACTCCACAAGCTGCGGCCAGGGATCTCTAAGCGCCGTTTAAGAATCACTTATTAGCCGCGTCACTTCACTCCCTTAAATCCTTCCTCGCACAGTAATGACCTAGATAGGTAATCTTTCGAATACTCTCGTACATCAAAGCAGAAACCCATGAACATGATCGATAGATTTCTCTCGCCTTCCCTGTCGTTACTTTGGGATTTCGTCTCGGTAGCGGTATACCTAGGTACGTATAGTGCTGGTTCCGAGTTTGCTGTTTAAGTAGGTTACAGCGGGGGACTGGCTCCTCCTTCCTGTTTGTCTTCTTCTGTCTTGCCATCTTCCGCACTTCATCTTATGTTTCATCCCTCCTTGACTATGGAAGACTTAGGTCTTCTACACCGCTGTGTCATGTCCACTTTGCCTTCTTACTCGCCTAGGTAGTTTGAAGATGATGGGACCTTGCACTCTCCTTGCCGTCTTATCTTGCTAGGGGGTATCTTATGTGTACTTGTAAGGCGTCTTTCCTATCAACATTGACTCATAGGGTACAGGTACAAGTCTCACGTATCATCGGCAAAGTTACATCGCGTCATCTTCGGTTAGGTACTGACTTGCCAGCCGCAAATCTTGAAAACACTGAATAGGGTAAGTTAGGCAAAGTATAACATCTGCTCGGAGGGAGGGTAACGCGAACATTAAATATGCACAACTCTTTGCCCACTCAGGGGTATTTGCAAGTAATATGATACCGTTAGAAGCATATCCAAACGCCTGTTGCAGTGCTACAGTAATAAAGACATAATTCTTCTACAACGACAAAGGAGTTGTATTCCAAGATCAACATTACTTATCTAGGTAGTCAGTTATCTATCCTACGCTGGATTCGCAGTGGGCCTGCGATTTAGGAGGTAGTCAACACCCAGTTTGAGCAACCTACTTCCTGCGCAAGTAAGTGACGTTGACTCCTTTAAGCTTGTTTGGTGATAGTGGTTGTACCTACAGCTCATTTTTTTTTTTGCCGCAGTCAAATATACTACGATAGCTACTATGACGCCCTTGAAGCTTTGCGTCGATACCGATTCCAAGATACCTACCTACCTTACCAATACCGAGAAACAGTTCCTCGCTAGCAAAACTAACAAGTTGCTCTAGACCTACAGAATCCTAGCTATACAGGCCACATTGCAAAATCCCATCTGTATGTCGTTGTCAAGTCAACACATCAACGGCAAAATATCACCAAAGACACCACGCTTGTCCAAAATAATCTCTCTCAAGATATTCGAACCATGATAAACACGGGTCTTCCCCATCACTTGGACAAGTGGTGAAACTGTCTCCGAAATAGCTAAGCACCACCTACACCACAACAGATGCCAAAGACTTGGATAAAAACCCTGATACCAAATATACCCTCTACGCTCAAAGGGTTGAGTGAACAGTCAACGAAGATTACGCTATTCACAACATTACCAAATACCAGTGTCCAAAGAACCGCAGATACGAAGCAACAATAGAAGGATTTGAGGTGTACCAAAACTCCCGCGATATGTATACGTGTATACTTGCATAAGCTACTTATACCCAGGAAGTCTAAAGGACAGCGTCTAGGGTACCCTAGGTAGGTAATGAAGTGTTGAGCTCCCGCAGGCACTGAGTTTGATATCATTACAGATATATATATATATACATCAAATAGTTTTACCACGCTCTATACCCCTCGGGAAGAGCGAGTGGTTTCTACCTCCGTCACGATCGATATTAAACAATACAAACAATATAGTAAACACTGTTCTTCTCATCCCCTCTTTCCCCTATCTCCTATCTACCTACCTAGGTTAAGAACAACCAATCATAACAAGTAGACATGCCGACCTATACATACATACACACATATACCCCTTATCATTTCAATCGTCTAGTAACCTATACCTAGAAAATCTCCACCTTTAAAAAGACACAAAACCTCCTCCTCCTTCTCCTTTAATTTCCTAAGAGTCCTTTCGAATAAAAACAATTAAAAAAAATCACAAAAATAGGGCTCAGCCGGGATTCGAACCCGGGGCCTCCTGCATTCCCACGTATGATGGAAGGGTTTGTGTGTGCTAAGGGTGAAAAAAGCCCGAAGCAGGAATCATACCACTAGACCACTGAGCCACGATTATCGGACATTTGTACCGCTATTTTCTCTCTACCTCCCCTTCTGCAAAAGATGGAACTTGCCAACGCTATAATGACTACCTTACCTACCTACTTTGGTAATAGGAGAAAGGTGTAATGATGCTGACACTGTTTATCAGATTTTTACAGAATGGATAATGAATGGTATGCTTACTCTCTTTTTGTCTTGGAGGTTTTTATTGCAAGCTATATACGGTTTACAAAAGAACAAAACACAGAGAGGACGGAGATAACATTGCAGGTTTTGAGCATCGAGACGTTCCAACCCTGCAACTTATTATTGTCTGTTTGCCAAAGTCGACCTAGCAATTCTAGTGTCAATAGATCATACTGTAGAGCCGTTGCGCTATAACCTTCCCTCCTCTGGTTAACAATAGTTTCAGGTACCGTCGACTATAGGAGTCTTTAGGCGTAATAGCGTTCAATCCTAGTGCCGCTTTGCTGCAGCTGGTAAACCCCCCTTCTTCGTCTCCAGTAACTGAACCTCGTAGAAAGTCTGCGGCCGCACCAGTTCTCCGCAACTCTATAGGACAATGGCTTTCAAGATTTGTCCCGAGTTCGGATCCTTTCGACGTCGCAGTAACAGGCCACTAGGTTTGGAAAGCCAGCTGGTTATCAATGGTGAGTTCAATTGTGTGTAGCTATTGTCTAATCCACTGTGTATCAAAGCAGCGAAAAGCCTTTTTAATTCATCGTCAAAGCTTGGGACCCTGACACCAGGAGTAACCTTTCCAACACGCCTGCTGACACCGTCCCCTTTTTGATGACAGAAGAAATCAAGTCGTTTCATCATTCGTAAAGCATGTGAAAAATTCTGGACAACCGCGCGCTCTCCGTCTCTACCATGCGGAGGGCAAAAACCAGCCTGTGTGAAGAAAGAATAAAACAAGCCTGCCTTGAGCTCATGAGCCTGACCTGCCTAAGACGTCATGATAGGCGGCATTTTTGTGTCATCGAGGGTCTCGTTCAGCTTGCATTAACATCGCAAATCGTATTAAGTCTCAAGGAATTCAATGCCACCATGCGACGCATCAATTCATGAAGCATTTACATGACCATCAAGGGCGTCTGTTTAAAATTTTTGGTCGTAAAGTTCGTAGTCGGATGAAGGTCAACTGACTGGTGTAAAACGTCGCTCCAATGCCTTCGGAGCGAATACAATGAAACGTTAAGGAAAATCGAACCGGAAGGAATGTGTGTTGTTCTGAGGTCATCGCCGCGCCGCCATCTTACAGAGCTGCCAACCAAGCGCAAGCCTCAAGACAGTAGGGGCGTCGTCGTCGCTGTCGGACATGTTGTCGTCATCATGAGCTACTCTAGCGTCGCCGGGATACCCCAACAGTCGAAGTCGGTCGGCTCATAGAGTCATACCCCGCAGGCGGTAATGATCCGTCAACGAGGGTTTTTCGGCGCTTCAGTTCTAGCCCGCCGTTTTGCGAACGCTGCATGTCCTCTTCATCGTCACGGCCCCTTTTCAGTGACGGCATTCCACTTAATCCAGGCTGCGCCGAATACCCGTTTTGTAGCGAGGTTGTCATATCTGTCTGCGAGCCGTACACGTCGGAAGCTGGCGCCCCATTAGGCGCCCCTCGATCATTGCTCATAACATTATACAGGTTGCTCGCTTGGGCACGAGGCGGAGTACTATATCCGGGTTGCTGGTGGTAGTAGGGCTGGGGCGCCGCGGTGGTCCGCGGCGTTGCTCTTCCCGAGTGGCCTTGGTGGCCAGGAGACGCTGCCATGTCCGACTGTAAATGTTGATGATCGCCGGGCATGGGAGCGACGGGAGGGGCTGCGTTATAATTGTAGGGGCCCCGGCTCCCATCGTAGGCGCCACTATCGTGCGTATATTCCGCTTCGTGGTCGGCTTCTTCTTCTCCTCCGGGATGCTGTTCTCCATGTTGCAGCATACCATTCGACGACTTCGCCTCGGCTCCCTCCGGCACGCCCGAACCGACGGGACGTCCGGATGGCGGACCCATCTCGCTCTTTATGTACGAATTCGGCTGCCCATATACGTTCCGGTCCTGCGGGCTGTTATTCGAGCCATACTGACCTTGCTGAGCGGAATGGCTATAAACGCCCCTCGAACTGTCGTATGACTGTGTCACTTGGGGGTACGACTGCATGCTCTGCAGCGAATTTCCCGGTGGTGTAGTAGCAGGTGTAGCGGGCATTGACCGCGCAGCATTACTAAGGTTCGTGTCTATCGACATTGGATTGTTGCCTTGCCCGCCATTCATGCCCTGTTGATTCCAGGTATACTCGGGATTGCCCATTCCGTTCATCACGCTGGAAGTGCTTGTCGGTGGGGTCGGGAAGGTATTAGCGCGATCGAGGGAAGGTCGTCCCGATCCGTTGTGAGACGGCAAGGGTTGCGGGCCGGGCAGACTCATGTGATGATGATGCTGCTGAATGGACGGTAACACGCCACTGGGGGGTGATGGACCCGAACTAGGACAGTTGCGCATCTGCTCCTGCTTGCGGCGTTCTGCGGCGGCCATCACTTGGTTCGTTCGGTTCTGATTTGTTGGGTGATATAACAGAGCTCCAATGTTGTGGACGAACAACGGATACAGCAATTCTGTAATCTTTTCTTTATTCGCAAAGTCCAGGGCCCTTTCGAACGGAATCCTGTTCCAGTCAAATATTAGCCAACTCTGCTGTCCGAATGGGTTGGGGAGGAAGCATACCAGACACCCTTCAAGTGCATCGGACCTATCTTTACGACATGGCGAACCTTTTCACTCTTCAAGATCCCGTCGCGTCTTCCTCGTGTCATGCCCGCAACATTCAGCAACTTGGTCCCGTTTACCATATGATTATCTGTGACAGGCGATTAGCAAGGATCTCAGGCTGTCATGTCAGGCCTTCCCTGTTGATATATCTTACCTTCGCGCCTGGCCACACATATCCCCCTAGCCTCTACCTGAAAACATAAGCTTCCCTCATCCTCCCAAAGCGTCGCTGTTACCCTAGGTTTCATGCCCGGGGGGGCAATTTGGCCAGTAGTGTCAAAACCTTGGTATGAGGGTGGCATCCCGGATGGATTGGCCCCTCCGGGTAACGGTAGAACGTTGGCAGGGCCCATAGGAGCCGAGACAGCTGGTGGGGCCGAGTGCGGCGACGCTAGGCCATTCTGGTAGTTGTAATGATACGATGGCGCCGAGTTGTAATGAGGCCCCGGTTGCAACAGAGTCGGTTGTTGCTGGTGGCCATACTGTGGCAGGGAATTTGAAGTGACCGTCTGAGGCGCTGACGCTGGGCCAGCCGAGAGATGTGCACCTTGGTAATACATCTCTTGTTGTGGATTCATCGCTGGGTACTGATCGTATCCACCAATGTTATGCTGCGAGCCTGATACCGACGCCGGCATATGAGAGGGCGGCGTTTTCGGGTCGTTTGAGACGACCGAGTCTGCCGTCGTATGGGAATCGCCGCCCGAGCTTGCCAAGGATGCGATGGAACTCAACCGGGGGGGAGAAGATGCAGTCGGAGGGTATGTCAGCAACTGTGGCGGGAGTGGAAGCGCTGGCAGCTTCTCACTTTCATAAGCTGCCCGGTGACTGAAGGGGGTGTTGAAGTATGATATTGTTGAGTCGGCCCGGGTAGGCGTATATGCGATCGACGGTAAATCCAGCTTTGCGGTTTGGACAAGGTGAGCCCGGCCGGCAGGATAAAACCCGATTTTCTGAGGGCGATAAAAATACCGAGCCCAGCTTATGTTGCGAAAAAAACAACAGAATCCCAACTATAAACAACCAATCATCAAACAGTACACTCGTACACTCGTAGGACGCGTCGTAATATGCGGTATGTTGCCGTCGTAGAAACTCGGGGTGAATTGAGCTTGGGATCGCCAAAAGGGTTAGAAGGGCAGGCGCGGCTTCAGGCGCGGGTTCAGGCGCGTGTTAAACCGAAAGTAATGCCAGTATCTCAACTCGATAATCGTCGCGAGGCTATTCCGTATGATAATAAAGACCAGAGTATAAAAACGATGGTCTTTTGTTAACCTCGGTATCCAGCTCTTACAAGCCGCAGGATAACGAATGTAGTTGATGTAAAAGATAAGGGTTTCTGGGGGTTCCTAGTCGACTAGCGGCCCGGTCAAGGTTCTATCCTCGACTTTATTCTGCAAACAATCAGTAAGTGCATGCATACGCAGGTGCCGCATCGATTCCCGTCAAATGCCACGCGCAATTAATCAATTGTAGAAGACCATGATGACGAAATTCGTAGGGCTCACCTTTTTTCTTAAAAAAAAATTCCCTGACCTCCAGTCGTCGTAACCGAAAATAGAGAGATCGGAAGGGGAAAATGACAAACAAAAGTGAGGGTGAGGGGAATGACTCGGGGAGGAGGAAAGAGAGAGCTGTTAGGGAGGAGACGGGACTGAGAAAGTCGCTCCTTGTCGCTGATGAGGAGGAGGCAGGGAAGTAAGTAAAAACAGGAAGAGGAGAAGGCAGGAAGGAGCATGGTTGAGGGTGGATAAGAGGAGCGAACAGAACAGAGGCCGACTACAAAATTGGAGTTAGCTGTACTTCAGAGCCCTGAAGGAGCGAGTATATTTCGCAAGTATACCAGTGAGTTAGCGCCGGGAGAGTGACCTCAATGGCTTAACCAGACGTGTACCTACTCATTGTACCGAGACCCGGTAGGGGAGGAAAGGAACTGTTGACCTCTTTGGGTAAGGAGTATACAGCAGTAAATACCAGGTTAAGTCTAGAAAATTGTCCTAAGCTTACGCCCACTACCTAGGACCAGGCTGCCAGGCACCCAGAACCCGCTTCAGGGTTGTTAAACATGTGTTGTACTTCTACAAGTACTGCTGACCTAACACCACCCACCCCTACTGTACCCACACGCTACCCCTGCTTATCGCTGTTATTTCAGATCTCGTTTTTGATGCACAACCCTAACTTGCCTTCCATAATAAACATAAATATTCCCATCAGCACGTTTGCTACAAACCCCCT